AAGAACGATGTGCCTTTGTTGGAGGATGTTGTTGTAGTGAAAGATGCAGCTCACTTTATCAACCAAGAAAGGCCTGATGAGATTAACAAACACATCTACGACTTCATTCAGAGGTACTGATTTTGTGTAGTGCGTCTCTTGGACTCTACCTTCCACAATGTTCCCTACTTCAGTTTGTAACCCTGAACCAGGGGATGGCATTCAGCCTTTCTGGAACTTGTTTATGTGGTGAAGGATTGTAGCACCATGCAAGGACTTGTACAGTCCTATGCTCATATGTAGAAATGATGCGAAAGTGTGATAACCTTGTAGTAACTGCTAATGACAAATAAGCAACACGCCTTTTTATTGGATGAATTTCAAGTTTATGAAGCATTCATGAGATTGCTGGAAACACCGCCGGGACAAACCAGTATGAGTTACGATTCACGCTCTGATGAAAAAGCTACTTCGATTGAAATTATGAACGTAATAGCATTTGTATTTGCAATGCCCTTAGTCAAGATGAAACTTATGGTTAATTTTTATATGCAACTTGATTAACTGTCGTTATCACATTGTGAAGTCATCATTCCATGTAAAGATAAAAATCGAAGAAGCCGGAGATATGAAAGTAATGGTTTTAAGTGAAATTGGTTTAAAGAGGAGAGAACTAGTGTGAGTAGCATGTTTATTTGGTGTACGATCTGCAATCGTGTACAAGAGGTTAAACAAGAACTTGTTCTCAGCAATTCTATCTTATTTTTATAAGGAATGTGTTTTCTTTGTCACTATGAAAACAGGAAAACCAAATTGAACATCTAATGATGGCGAAATGTTACACAAAATAAACCCCAGCAATGCAACATTAATATGATTAAGCTTCAACTATTTCCACTCTTTCGTCTTCCAACATCGAAGTGTATGTCCAACAGTCCAGTTATCCCAGCTTCTATCTTTTGGCCAACCTTAACCGGACCAACGCCTTGAGGAGTGCCTGCAAAAGGTATTACTGCTGTTCTAAGTTCACATCCTTTGAGCAATAATAAATTGCGTGTCAAATTATGCAGAGTCATGGAAATAGGAGACAGGCAAACCAACTAGGACAAGGGACAGAAAATTCAATCTAAAATTTGCATGCGGAAACAATTTTCATGACATAGTGAATGACATTTCAGTGAAAGGAGTATATTTTCGCCTCAGACCTGTTAGAATAACATCTCCTTCCAGAAGCGTCATGATAGAACTTATGTGGCTAATCAAATACGGAATCTTAAAAATCATATCTCGAGTGGATCCCCTTTGCCGAAGGTCACCGTCGACCTGCAGGATTAGGATATACCTTCATGATATACTTGCAGAAGCAGCAAAAGCAATAAGATATGGCACAAACTAGTTTGATCAGGTAGCAGTACCTTTAACCACAATTCCACATCATGAGGATCCGGAATCATTGTGCAAGGTAACTGTAGAAAATTCATTGAAACCATTTACTGATAAAGCGTTTGAAATGGCTCAATACAGATAGCTCGTTTACTTGATGGAACAAAGAAATAAAAGTGGATATCATGGAAGAAAACACGATTAGATGGGTAAATGAATTCTCTTCATTCACGTGTTCATAAAACCAAGCAAAATTCCTTTTCCTGCATAACATTTCATTGTAAATCTAGACGTGATCTCACAAAAAATTAATACAGTAATAGTGTTGGTCAATACTCACAACAGAGCTAATTGGTGTGAAGGTGTCTTGACCCTTAGCAACAGTCCATGGAAGACCTGCAGACTGGCATGATAAAATAAGTCAGCCCAAAAGAATATAGAACTCAAATTTCTAGTGAATCAATGTATAGATTCTCAACACCAGAACTGTTACGTAATCCAAGAGATACACACTTCAGCTCTATGAGCAGCTCTTCTCATTTTGCAGTAACGGATATACATGTAAACTGTAGTCAAGCAGCACTTTTTCTCCTTTTATGCTTTGTTAGGGTAGATGAGGGTGTGTGTGTGTTTGTGTGTGAGAGAGAGAGAGAGAGATGCAAAGGAATCCAACAGCATGTGGTATAAACAATAACTACCAAATAAAAAGAAAAAAAAAAGGAAAAACTAATACTAGTCAAACCCAAGCAAAAATAAAACCATCTCGCAAGAAGAGGAGAGAACTGAATCATGAGAAAACATAATAAAACTCTGAAGCAAATAATCATTGAAAAAAGAATTCACACCTTTGCAGCAGCTTGGATCTCTCTAGCGGTCATGTCCAATGCAAGAGCATAACCTTGACCATGTGACTGATGGCAATTAGTATTTTAGACAAGAGAGAATGTTGGCAAAATATAGTGATGGGTATGTGGATGAAATGATTACCTCAAGAAGCGAATTGACAAATCTTACACAGCATAAAAACAAATTATCTAGTACTTTTTCGTATATACATAAAAGGATAGAGTATTCAAAAACAGAATCAGTGACTAGAAGATGGCATTTCTAACTAAAATTCAGATAATCAATTGAAAAAAAGCAAAAAGATGTAAACAGAGAATAGGAATATTCAAAAGCTTGCAGCATATCTGCAGATGAAGGATAAAATATCTTCTTCAAGTAGACAAGTGCAACTACTGGATAGCAATTCGAGAAAACATAAGAATCAGCCTCATCAACATTCAATTCATTTCTGATCCTTCAAATATGTCAATGCTAATTTCTTTCCCATGCAGCCAGCGATACTATTCGTTTCTCTCTTTCTCTTTATTTCAATAAAATCCATTTTCTTCTTTTCCTTCTTTTCTCTTTAACCGCTTTAAAGGAGAGAAGGTTGAGGTCTGCTCAAGAAGAAGGGCGAAAATAAGCGCTCCCTGTGCAGCTAGATCACTTAAAGCACAACATTGAACTACATAGTTTACTCTGCAGAAGCTGGGGTTCTAATCTTGATTGACTTGCGAATCAAGTGGAATCAAATGTACTATCCAATAAACAAGCAATTAAACCCCGAGACCATATACTCAACTAATCTATCCTAGTCAAAAACCCAGAAACAGTGCAGCTAAACAAGCAATGCTAACCAGAAAACACGGCAATCAACCGTGGAAACCATCTGCCATAACTCGTATGTGTCTTTCTCCCAATTGAGTACACATCAGAAGTCATACTTCCATTCCTCTAGTCTTTCAAACCTCTAAAAACACGAGAGATGGGTACTGTTTTATTCATGATATGGTTCCAGCGGAACAATTTGGCAAGCAGAAACCCGCATGGATGATTAATAGTCAACCTATCTCACAAGTTCAATTAGAAGTCATCCATACCATTATTACTCGACCAAAAAAAAAGACTGAGCATAAACTTCAATAAAACTTGCTACTGAATTTGGTCTGATTCCATTTCCCAATTATTAAAATGCTGCATCAAAAATTTCTAGCTGCTACACTCAGCATCACATTCAAGATCAAGCAAGTAAATGAGAAACCAATAATCAAAAGCATAAAAATCAAGTTTTTATCAAAGAATCAAGTTACAAGAACTCCCCAAAAAAAAAAAAAAAAGTGCGGATTAGTAGAAGATGCTGAATAGAAAGTTGTAGTGCACCTCCGACATAGTCCATAGCAGAGGCCTCGGGAACATCGCGAGCCTTTCGACCGATGACAACCGCCAATTCCACCTCGTGATCGAGGGATTCCAAGTTGTGCGGCACCTCAATCTTCCCTCCGTCTTCCAAATACGACGTCGTCGGCTTCATAAACAACACTGGCTCCTACTTTTTCCCAAAAATTATAATTAAAAAGAAGAAGAGGAAGAAGAAATCGTCACACAAAAGTTAAATGCAACAATTGTAGATCATGACGTGCAGAAAACGAACTGAAAGACCTTGGGGACGGCGTTGCCGAGTTCCTTGGCGTGAGCGGCGTAGTTGCGGCCGACGGCGATGATTTTAGTGCCGACGGTGAGAAGCTTCTGGAAAGCTGACGTGGCGGTGGCCATGGTGGATGACCTTCTAGGAATAGCGTATACTATCACTCCTCTGCTTCCTCCGACTATTTTAGGAATACTCGAAGACGCATTCATGCGTGTAAATGTGACCGAGAGAGAGAGAGTTTGGAGGCGGGCAGCTCAGCTGTGGTTTTTCCGCAAGAAGTCGTGGATAGGCTGAGGTATCAAGCCAGCGCTTTTAGTGCATTACTGCAAAGCGTTAATAACACCACCACCTAACCTTAACTCAGAGATTGGTCACAAGAGTACTGTAAATCCTTTTTAGTTACTACCATATATTAATACTACATGATCATTCTGATCGATTTTTTTTTTTTTTTTTTTTTTGTTAATACAAGGCAAATTTACAATTTTTTTTCCCTACAGCGTCATGAGTCATAAGTCATACACCTGAAATTAAATTAATTTTCCCCTAATATAATTAATTACTAAAAGCGTACAATTACTATAAGTCCCAGCAGCGACTTCTGAGTTTGGAACCCGAACATTGGTATAACATTGCCTGCTACCCTTGGACGGACTGCAACTAAATTCTACTTTCTACTTCTCTCAGGCATTTCAGGATGAAATCTGTTCGGCCCTTTGTGTTGAAACCTCATCATCAGGACACTAGAATGCAGAGTTTGTGGACCTTGCTTATCTTGGCTGGAATCTCCAGTTCCACTCGGACTTCCTGACCTGAAACTTATTTTGCAATTCGAAGCTTATAATGGGAAAAAATGCTCATCTACCAGAGCAGAATGTTATTTCTTGTACATGGAAGGAAAAAGCCAAAGGTATAGTAATTAGGAGTAGCTAGCCACCCTTCAGGAAGAGGCTGGCCACTGAACAACGAGAGACCGGAACAGCAGCAATCGGTGAAATGTAAGTCCCTACCAGTACTTGACTGCCCGCAAGGCGATCAAGAAAAACTCTGGTTAACATCTCTTTATTCAGCTCTTTCACTAAAAAATGAATACTGATCATGAACAAGCAAATGATGAATAATTACATTTATCCTAGATCAATGGCAGAGGCATATAACATAATGAAATCTCATGCTGGCTGGCTGGCTTCTTGGCAACTAGAATTTGTTGAAAAGATATTGCCAAAAAGCACAGATAGTTGCTACTTACGGCTTCTTCACCCGAAGGCTTGGAGTGCTCAATGTCCTGCTGGATCGTATTCCTCTTTCTTTTCGCGGATGAGCACGAAAGCACATTTGCATGTGAAAAAAAGTAGCAGCCCGCTGAGAGAGAGGAGCATAATGAACTCTACCACAAGTGCTGATCCCAGGGCTGCAGTGCCACGCACATCAGAGCCAATAGCAGTTCAACAACTATTTACTCCGGTAACAAATCTCTACAAATGCTAAATATCTGGCTACTGCAGGTTATTGCACACTTCAAACGAATTGTGCAGGCAATAAGAGATTGGAGCTTACCATGAGCTAACAGCGAACTCATTGGCGGTCTTCTTATTAGACTTATTGTAGCCTCAGCAAATAATGGCATTGACATCATTTGCTCGCAATTCGGGCAACACCCATAGTTTCCCATATCATTTACTCTCACAGTCAGAACATCACCATGTTTGCCACCCTGCAGAAGTTGTCAGTTAATCCCAAATAGAATACCAACTGCATGAGAAAATCCTAGTTTTCCAATGATGCTTACATGATACATCAATTGTTCAATTATACTGTTGCAGTCATTAATAGTCCCTCGGACTCTAATGCCTTTTGCTTTCACCATAAAATGTTTAGAGATGGTAACAAATGTCAGAAGGGGCTGCCACTGGTAACTTGTCTTTAGCTTCAGTTCAGTCGTGGCTACAAGCTCAGCAGGAAGACTTGTAGATAGAACTCCAGAACTGACTTCAAAAGAGATGATGACTAAAAAGTGAGACCTGTTACCTGAAAATCAGCCAAGTAGAAAATCAGGCACCAATATCCTGTCTGATAAGCTTTTGGACTCTCAAAGGTAAGTCTTCTACATCGTCTGATGATCAAGTTTGTTTTTCCAGAATTTTCCATATAAACCGAATGCCCTCTGCGTTTCCAGAGTAATCAGCACTTTATAGGTAACTAACGGTACAAATTAGAGACTAGCAAGAACCGAGCATTTTAGTGCAATTCCAACAACAAATAAAACTTGATGTTAATGAGGTAATGTCTATTAGAGCTGGCAAGCTGTTATCCAAGAAAGCCAGAAAAAATGTGTTTTGACATTGCACATATATGCATCATTTCATACACAAAATCAGCTTAGCTGTCATAATTTGATCTTACATGTTGCGTATACTTCTATACTGCATAAGCTGTCTTGTAAATGATCTTACTTATACTGTCAAGTTTTGCAATATTGAAAATTTTTTATTTTTAAATGCTAGAGTCTGTCTATGAAGCGACTAAATTCAATGCGTTTGTACTGTCTTGCATACCAGGGAAATTTGGAAGATCTGGATCCCCAATACTGAAGTCAAATTTGTCTTTCTTTCTATCAAAAATAAGTACATCTCCCGAATCTTCAAGGAAAATAAATGCAGGGGCATTGATAAATGGATGGTCATTAATAGGTTCCACAAATACAGGAACTTTAACACTGTTCTTCCCATTTCTGTTCATGGTAGAGACTTGGATTGCATCATCACCGCAAAAGTTCTCATCCCTGCTTCAAGGTAACAAACAGCTCATCTTAATGCAGCACACTTAATGATGTTTAACCACAAAGAGTCATGCTGTGCATTTTTTTCCCTTTTTACTTTGTGGGGAGAAGGTGAGATGAAGAAAGAGAGAGTACTCTCACTTGATAATTCTGATGGATGCTTAAAAGAAAGTTTGCTGCTTTGCAGAGGCTTAATAAAAGACAGACGAACTTATGTTGCTACAAATTCATTCCCACAAGGCCTACATGACACATCATGCATTTCGAGAAGGAAAATTAAGTGAGGTGTCTGTCTTACCCAAAGTACCGGATTGCTTGAAGGGCAGAGTTAATTACATCCACACGACCAGCCAAAATCAACTCTTTGGCCTTCTGATGATCTATTTTTACTGATAATTCACCCCAGAGCGGCTGCCAAAATTGCATTAGCATTGGAGACAGGAAGACAGTTCCATACTGTGCATTAAGAATAACCGTGATGTTCTCATCCAAATCTGAGTATGCAATCTCAAATCCAGAGAAACCACTGCACACAGAGCAGGCAAGAATTTTGATGTCTTTTGAGAGCAGTAGTTTAAAAGTTCTAAGATATGTTCTTCATTTTTTCAAAGCTAAATCTACTATAAAGAAAGGCAACATACCCAAATCTGGGACTAATTAGATCCTCCGTTCCGTGCAATTGACTTGGAAAGGAGACAAACTGAGGTGGAATACTAAGGATATCTATATTGACAGAACCAGAAGCTACGTTGCCATTTACATCACAGATGGTATACACGAAAGAATCATTTCCATTAAATCCTTTGTAAGGTGTGTATCTGAAAAGACCTCCATACTGCAGAAGGGAACCATGATCTGGCTGTGACAAGTATCATTTACAACAGTAAGTCCTCCAAACAGAAAAGTGCTCAATTGCCTTAACAAGTACCCAAGGTGTGGTCTTACATATGCTCACTCTGTGCGAGTGAAACACTTCTCGACATGACAATGTGAATGGCCAAAAGCTAGTTGAACAAATAGGAATCATGTATTCTCTTTTATTTTAAAAGGTAGAACCCAAAATTAAGATGGACAGTCACTCACACAAACATAACGTTATAGTTTATGCAGGTCATGATATGTTATGGACACGAGGTTTCATCCAACATAATTACGCAGCTTACCCTCGAATATTCTTTTATACTAGCATTGCCACCTGCAAAGTAATCATTGTCTAGAGCATCAACTGCAGTTGACTCATCCTCCCAGACAGGGACTGTATCATTTAAAACTTTAGGAAAATATTCACCTGAAAAAAAAAAAAAGAATAAATCAGTTAGATGGAGAATATAGAAGTATACAAAAAGAATGCAACAAGCCCTTTAGAGATGGAAGACACCATGAGATCATGACCAGCACCAAAAGATATCAAGCACCACATTGATATTTCGAATGAGGACAGTAATTGTTGTCACCTGTAATTACTAAAACCAAAGAAAGTGTTCTTCCAAATATAAACCAAACATCTACAGACATACTTGTATAAACATTCACGCCAATTGGACATGGCGTGAAATGCTGTCCATCAAATGAAGCGCATATCTCATAGGTGCCAACGTCCTTAGCCAAGAAACTACCAGTATAAGTTCCGTCTTTGTTGTCAACAAACATCATTGTCGAAAAGCCAGATCTATTGACTGAAGCAACCTCAAGTTTCAATTTTGACTGCTCTGACAGAACTGGATTGGAGTATGAATCCAGGAGCTGTATAACTACTTCACTTTTTGCAAGCTTCGGTACTTTTGAAGCAAACTCCACAACCCCTGAAAGGGATAGATTCACCTTCCCTGGAGAACAGATGAATCAGTATGCCACACGCATTTTGAATTAAATATCAAATGCATCAAAGCAGAAAAGGTAGAAAAAATGCCATCTGAAACACAGTAAGAGATATTCACCTGAAATATATGGGGGAAAAAACCCACGTTAACAACATTTATATAAAGCAAGAATTTAAAAGTTCTGTTTCAAATTATAATGAGTACTTTTACATATTAAGTAGTAAATGCCAAACTTCCCAAAATCTAAACTGACTGGATATACATTACAAGGCATGAATCACTAAATACTTTTTGCATTTTCTATTGCTTAGACTATGTTTGCACATTCAGGGGGTTAAGACATTACTTAATCACCCCAAATTAATATATACAGTACTTTACAATGTACCTGCACTTACTACCTTTCTGAAGGGATTGCCACCATTTAGTGGAACATTTCCACAAAAGATAGAGATTTCATACGTCCCACTCTTTTCAGGTACAAAAGCGACCTCAAAGTTACTTGCGCTGAACCTTGTGTTCTCGGTAGACTACATCCACAGCTAACAATTATCACTGTCTTCAATGTGGTACATATAGCAAAAAATTTTAAAATGAAAACCTGAATTTTACCTTATTTTTTGCACCATCAGTTGAAGGAGTAAGTTTGTCAAGTGTTCCAGCAAAAGTACCTGTTATAGCAGTCAAGCTCATCTATCAAAGTGACAACAAGATGGTGTATATTGAAGCATAAACTAGATGCTCATTCTCATACCCATTTCGGCTTTCTTTGGACGTATCCTTGGTCGTAACTGTTTTAAACTGGATTCATGCAGAATTTTTACTTGCAGCATATCTAATTCAGCTGGAGAAGGATATAAATAGGCATCTCTCAAGAACACAGAAAAAGTTGAAACTTCTCCAGCAAAAGAGTGATTTAAACCAGTTCCATTGACAACGCTGTTTGTCCCATCACAATAGCCTGCTCAGTTTCAGAAGTTACAAGAATAGGAGTTACAGGTTCAGAGCGGAACAAGCTAGCTACTCTTATTTAAACAAGATGAGGTAATATAATGACAAAACTTTTTCCTAGCAGAAACAGAGAAAACACGTCTTTTACATAAATATAAGAGTCCATCTAAACGTAAAGATACTAAATGAAAGCGCTTTTATAACAACCTTTCCATAGTGCAGGTATGAGATCATATATACACATACATTTGATGTCTATAACAAGCAAGCCTCCAAGTCTCTAGTATATTGGGTACGTTGAGGGTATGTGTGGGTGTGTCTGTGCAAAACCAGGGAAGGGGGAGCAAATGTTACGGCAAAATGGCTTTGGAGTCCAACAGCTGACATCATGAAGTAATTTCCAAAAAGGTTCTTGAAATTTTTAGATAATCTTAATGACACAAGCATTTTTGTGCCTTCACAGAAAACATAACCTGCCAATTTCCATGTTCTATTTCAAGTTTCCTTTTTACTATTTTAATCCTATCTTGAAAACACCCTTGAATCTCTACAGATTTCCTTCTACTGTTAGTTGCAGTAGTTGACTTCTGCATGTGCAATCTCTGGCAAACTTCCACAGCCATACGTGTAAAAATATCACCAGCTAACAGAAAAATATCAGGCCCCATTCAATCAATTTGGAAAAGTAGATTTCATATCCATGTTTGTATCTACAACATAAGGTACTTAATAAAAGCCAAAGAGTCTAGATCAATACCTACATAGACTTTGAAGTCATATGGCACGTTAGAGATGAGAGTGTTGTGCTTATCAGAGATCATGAGCATGAAGTTCCCAGGCTCAACTAGACTGAAAGAAAATGACTGAATACCCAGCCCAACATCTTCGAAAACCAGATCCGACACTGGCATAGATAAGTTTGTCCCCTTCTGCACAACTTCAACATCAAATGCATACGATCCAGGGACAAGATTTCCATAAGAATCATGCTGGTGTATAAAAGCTTCCATCATTGAGAACAGTTGGAAGGCTTTTGTTTCAATACGCCAGCGTACTAAACAATTAGCAACATCTAAAGTTCCTGTACAGAACATTCAGAAGGGGTATAAACTACAGAGAACAAAGCAAAGATCTACACATGATGCAGTACAACTTTGAGACGATATAAAGTAGAATCAGCAGCATTTCATTAGTTCAAATGTCTTAAGGTGTACCATCCAACTGTTATTAAGATGCGAAGTTTTTGGTACTTTGTATATTTAGATGAGTGGCTGGGACCCAAGAAAACACAGCAGTGACATGGACTTCCACAAGAACAATGCATTTAAATATGAAGAGCAAGTGCCTCTTGGAGTAATGTGAAAGGCAGAATGCAATGCCATAATCTAATATTAGAAGAGTTACACGCCCAAAACGGAAGGAAGAGATTAGAGAATAACTGCAACACCAGTGAATGATGCATTTGACCAGGCAGGAGATTTAGCTAATTCCATTATTTACTTAATAAAATGATGAAGTTTGAAATAAATAATCGCTACCTCTTTTAACCCCTATTTCACATGCACACTCAATGGGCCTTTAAATCTTAAGTTTCATACCGCCCCCCGCCCCCCCCCCTCTCCTCATCTGATAAAAATCACCAATAAACTTCTGCAGGCAAATACAGCACAGGCAGAGAATCCAAATGATGAATTGTTAAATAAGATGCAGTTGTTGGAGGAGCAGGATGGAAAGGCAGAGGTACGTATTTGCCTTTTCAGGACTCGCAAACCACATCATAAGTTAATGCTTAGGAAATCACCTGTTTTCACCTTGAATGGCAATGGGGAGCCAGTCAACGTTTGATTTTTCTCTCGAACATGAAGTAAGAGGTTCCCAGATGAGGCCACAACAAATTCAATACTGAGATATCCTAACTGATTCCACCCCTTGTCAGTAATGTTAAGCACGTCTGCAGCAGAACCATCCAGACTAGTTGCTGACAACCAAAAACTATAGGACTCTGATCCTTTACTGATTGAAGAGACATTATTCCCAAATGCATCTTTAGGGAGTATCAAAATTGTAGCTTTTGTTCCAGCGACAAACTCGTTTGCTCCATCCATCCACAAGACAATACCAGCAGCTAAATACATTTTTCCTTCACATTCATAGCAGTATGTAAGCGGTCATCATTGTACAAATTCATTGATGATAAAACTGGCAGCGTTAAACTGAAACAATATGTGCCCGCAGAACTGATATTAATTACATTCTTGTACTTAAAAAGTACTAGCATGATTGAGATATAGAAAGTCAGTTTTATCCTGCTATACAAACATTGTTGATTCTCTAGATCTAGAGCCAACATATCTCATAATACGAGATGATCGTTGAAAGAAAAGTAACAGAAGAGCAAATGAGAGTCATGATTACATTGTACGTATGGTCAAAACGCTGCTAGCCCTCATTGTACAATTGAAAGTTCATCCAGGACAGGACGATTGCACATGTAAGATAGCAACTTGTCAAGAAAAACAAGTTTCCCTAAACTGTGATAAACGTCACTAAAAGGAAAACAACTGAACGTTACAAATGAGGACATTCTCACTGCATCCAGTGACTGGATTATCATACAATGAAATAAAAGATGCAAAACAAACCTGGAGTGACTCGGAAATGAAGGGAAGAGTCCAAGACATTGAAATTTTCTTCGGTGATCAGCACATTGAACAATCCAACCATAATAGGGATGAAAGATATCCTCCAGTTGTTAACATCAACATCAAACTGTAAAGAAACCCCAGAAATGTAGGAGCTATTACCCATCTTATCGTTGACTGTGATGTTAGGATTAAAGGGGTACTTGTACTTTCCACTCTCAAAATTTCCTAGAACTTTGACCTTTATAGTTGCTATATCCCCTGCCACAAATGTGTCATTGCCATCAAACCAACTGAAAGCAAAAGTGGGCATTGATGGACTCTCTGCAACAAATACAAAAATGATTCAATAAATAAGTAAAACAAAATCCACCTCCTAGAATTGATGTAGAAATGCCGGCATTACCTGATTTTGTGACTAGAAGACTAAAAGATGGAAACAGAGAGGCAGTGAGGAAGGAAATGATAAGTATGATTTTAGTATATAAAAGCATTCTTGAGTGTCCACGTACGAGATTACAGTGAATTGCAGAAATGATTTGACTTCAAAAAAATTTTGGTGGGGAAGAAAGATCTGGTATAGGGCGGGAAAAGTTCAAGTTGATGAATAGCGGTTATGATATCCGTGTGGAAGTCTGGGTTATGGTTGGTTATTGACAGTTACTTGAACTCATTTTCTGTCGCAAATATTTTTTATTTATTGGCAGTGTGGTAAAAGAAAACAAAGATCAATTGTATTTTCAGATTTTTCTTGCAATAGCTATTACTAATATAAAGATCATTCTTTCGATAGCATTTTTGTTCAATCATGAATATTAGATGTGTCAAAATGAAGGACAAGGGGCACAAACGGTTGCAGGTCAATCGTTTGTGGCGGTTTGTGCATTTTCCAACAGCGCGTAACATTTTTTGCACGTCGCGTAACTTTCTTTACACACGGAGTAACTTTAGAACAAATTTTTGTGGACCCCACACATGGCGTGAAAATCGAGTTACATGTTGTAATTTGAGCCGCACAAATTTCTGAGGCCACATCGTGACCGTGAACCTTCAGGAACGGTTGTCAAAATGAGTGACAACCGTTCCTGCCCCATTTCCCAAAATGAGTGATTCGGGTGGATTTGAACGGGTCATAATTTGATAATGGGTATAATTAGGTCAACCCACGTATACGCATTTAATATATGGGTACGAGTATATCCAATATCTATTTATGAGTCACTTAAAATTCTATTTTTTTTTAGCATATTGTTTGACAAGAAATAACGATATCTTATTGTTATTTGATTGATAAGAAATTGAAATTTATTTTCTTAACACTCACTAAAAATTGAATTTAAATATATAATTATTTTAAATGAGTATAAACGGATGAACCGAATCAACCCATTATCAATCAATTAGATGAGTTTAATTGAGTACCAATTTGAACCCATTCAAAATTAATGGATAGGTTTGGACAGGTTATTGGTGGACGAGTTTGAACGGATCAACATAATTGAATTGTAATTAACACATCTAATAAACAGGATCTGAGAACAAGAATGACTAAGGATGATAATCTTTCCAGGGTCCAAGCCATGATAAAGGCAAATATTTTGTAAGAAAGAATATTGAAGTTAACCATGATTCACGTAGGATACTGTTGGAGCATCGAACGGACAAGTACTTTTCATATTATGAAACAATTGAACGTTTGCACAATCAAGTGTACAAAAGTAAAGATATAGTGAATAATAGATTTGCAGTTTGGTAGACTTTTACTAGAATAGATGTAAAAGATGCATGTAAAATTTTCATGTCGAGTGGTCTGCGCTTTTTCGATTCTAATATCTCATCGCCTACATTTACATCAAATTTTGATCACGGGGTTGCAAACTAGTTATGTTTGAAAACCACATGTTAGACATACGTATCGATTACCTTTTTTTTTTTTTTGGGGTAAAAAAAGAAGACTGTTGTGTTTGATAACCATGTTAGATATAGGCATCGGTTACCTCTTTTGTTTTTTTTTTTTTGGGTAAAAAAAGAAGACTTGAATAATAATAATACCGCTTCATAGCACATTGCTTTTATCTAAATTCGTATAATTTTATCATTTTAAACTGATTAGCAATAAAACGTTTCCTGCAACAAACATTCCCTTTAGGACTTTCGGTCTTGCCGCCGACGACCTGCCAACATGCAGCAGAATTTCCAAATCCAGTACTTCGTAATTTTCACCGCACTTAACTTCACAGGATTATTACAATTCAACTCAATTCAACATTGATAACAATTTCCATGCAGTGGCTGAAGAAATCTTTTAGCAAGGCATGAAACTCCATCACAGCACAAAGGAATTTTAAGTGTGCCGTTTTTGTTGTCTCTGTTGCTTGGTTGAGGTGGATGCTAGAAAACAAGAATGGGATTAAAGAAAAAAGAAAACATTGCCGCATGTTCAGAATTTCTAATTCAACAATAAGGTAACAACAGAAAAGCTAACTGATTGTCTCCAAAACATGAAGTATGACAAAATTGTCTCGCAAAAATTGCCAGTTCGGCTATAGATAGCACCACCAAAACAAGGAGACACACCCCTTCAAACTCTAAAGCCTCTGCTATTTCTTCTTCCCCTAGCTCTCTCAAATTTCCTACCCGTGGACCTAACATATGGTTTGGTGTGGCTATGAGGCACACCGGGAGCTGGGCCAAAATGTTTCACGGCCTCGCGTGCATTCTTTGGGCCTCTAAGTAAAACCTGCAACAACAAGAACAGTGACTTGTTTGATGTATTCATTTCGCTTAAAAGAAGGATATCTATCAGAGATTGAACTTTCTCTAAGCAAACTAACTACAGCTCTGTCTGAAAATATTCTCCACAGTGTTGGCAAAGTTAGAACCCCAGTGTTTTAACTAAATTCAAATGGAAAAAGGTATCAAATGGATGCTGACCACTAAGCCACACACCCTGTGTCATAGATATCATCGGCAAATAGCAAATCATGGCCTCGAATAGTTTTCAGAGACGGGCACAACAGACAAAGTGCCTTGTTTGGGGGACAAGCATGCTCCTCAGATGAATCTATCGTATTCTTTGTCCTTAGTTTTGTCAAACTGTTTGGCTTTCCTAAGGACTGGCTACTTGGAAAAAAACCAGACAGAAAACAGAGACATGAAAATGAACCATGGAACAGACTCAACTAGAGGCTTTTGGGAATGTAATTTTAGATGCATACCGTGTTCTGACCAAGAGGAGCCCTCAGGGCCAACTGATCAAAGGTCAAGCACTCTCCTCCAGCCTTCTCAATTCTTGCTCTGGCCCTCTCTGTGAACCTCAAAGCAGCCACCTTCAAAGTTGGCACTTCGTACGCTCTAGTATCATTAGTTACTGTTCCAACAAGCACTGCAATTTTGTCCTCCTAGATATAAAACAAGATGAATGCAATTAGCTTGAATAGTTTATATGACATGCTATGCAGTTAAATTAAAACTATTTATATGACATGCAACTTAATTTCTTCTATTCAAAGCACTTTTTGCTTCCCCTATCCCATGAATCTGCACAACTTCACTTGATATTCAAGCTAATTATCAGTGGCAGCAATATTAGTTTTGGGCTATTAAAAGCTATATTAAGTTTTGGGATGTTAAAGAACATCTTAAAGTAATCACTTATATTAGCTACACAGAACAAAAGGAAAACAAATCAAGGCAAAAAATAAAAAAAGGCTGAACTTTGTAGCAAAACCCATTTTGGATATCACTAACAACTAGCTCAAATGGACATCAATGAGAAGCAGAAGTCAAGGTCAATCAAACGAATCCCCAAGTAAAACTCCAGGAACTAAGCAAAGTACCTTTCCTTCCATGAACTTGACAAGGCTGGAGAGTGACAGAGGAGGCTTGTTGGTCTTACTCATGAACAACCTCTTCAGCAGTACAGCATTGAACCTGCTCCCTGTCCTCCTCACCAAAAATCGGTACAACTACAACGAACACGAAGCATTCTATATGAATTCAAATACCTCTATTCCCACCAAACTTGTACATATATTACATCATCAACAAAAAAAAAAGAGAAAGGAAAAACGTAATCTTTATGATTATGCGCTTGACTAAAGCTGAATGAAATTCTTCGGAGCAATACTTACTAACCAGCCAAAATTCATGTGTTTGCAAATCTAAGCTAGACAAATGGATTTCATTCACGAACTATCAGCAATCCTTATACTTTATTTCTGATTACAAATATGAATACAAATAAAATTCTTCACAGCAATGGTTTACTTGACAAATTCATGTGCTCATACATAACGTAGTATAAAAACAGATTTTTCTTTAACAAACACACGAATATCAGACAGAGACTTAAAAAAAAAAAAAAAAAAAAAAAAAGCCAAAGTAGGCACCTTGACTAGGAGCTTGAGGTAGATGTCATGAGATTTGGGGGCGGTACGCTTAGTCTTCTTAACTTTGCCGCCGGCTTTCAAATCAATACCCTGAAAAATACCAAAATTATACACCACAGAATTGGATATTAGGCTGAAATCTTCGTCCCAGCGCAACTAAGCAGAGGGAGAGAAACGTAGAAATTACCATTTCTTCTTTTTCGAAGTCTTGGCGAAGACGAGATTTCTGTCGGAGGCCGCGGGCTTGGCTGCTAATGGAGTACTGGACGGCTGCTCCTCTATAGTTTTGGAGGTTTTCTTATTAGGGTAGAAATGGGATAGGGTTTTTGCCTGGGGAATTGGCTCCCGTGACAAGCTGGTGATGCTGTTTATTACAGACCACTTGGATCTCGATCGTAGAAGGGCCAAGTCCGGTCAATAAAGTAATTTGGCTTTTCCTTTTTACTCAAGTATTTGCATTAATTATCACTGTGAAGGGGTTTTACTAATATTTTTTATTTTCTTCTTAATTTCCAAAGAGAAATTACACATTTTCTTTTTTATTTCAGTGTATCGATTTTACGCCTAGCCTTTTTCACCTTTTTTTTTTTGTTTTTTATACCTATACGATGAATACCATCAATGTCTATTGAAGTTACAGCAATGAAGGCAACAATAAATACGGAAGCTGAGATCAATATAAAGTAGGGAT